GTAGGGAAACACCATGCAGCCAGCCTTGCCCTTTCAGGCGACACATGGAAAAAGGAGAAATTCCCACTGCCTGTGCTGGTTTGTGGTATTTATCTGTGGGTTTTTTTTGTTGTTTCTTTCTCTCAATCCTTCTCCTGCAGCTGGGTCTTTTTGTGGGAGAAGGGCTACCAGGAAACAGACTCTGTGGTCAGTTCCGTAACCACGAAGGTGAAGGGGGTAGCGCTGACGAACACATCCGCCCTGGGAGCCAGGATCTGGGACGTGGCTGACTATGTCATCCCGCCTCAGGTATCGACGGCCTTCACCTGCGCAGGGAGGGTTTGCTAACGAGCAGCTGCCGCTCTGCCAAAGTCCGCCGAGGTCTGGAGCAGCTTCGGCTCCGGCGTGGGCTTGATACGGGAGAACGGAGCAGCTTTGCTTTGTTGCTGAGCGTCTGCACCCCTAGTCCTGAGGAAGCTTGTTTCGAGGAAAGTTTGTCCATGTGTGTGCTTGTATAGGAGGGAGAATTTTGCAGGCTTCAGGAAGAAGTTGCAACAATGACCGTGTGTCCTCTTCCTGCTTGCTAAAGCAAACAACTCAGTTAACTTGTTGGCAGGAACCCCAGGAATAGCCCGCAAGTGACTTGACCTGGAACTGAACGGGAGGTATTGCTGTAGTCACTGGCTGACTGTGTGTTGGTGTGAGAATCTGCACTGTGTGGGCAATACGTGGCAGCCTCCAGGGTTGATAGGCATGGCCAAGCTGCTAACTGTGGGTCACTTTGTCTCCGTGAGGTGTGGTGCAGAAAAAAGTGCCAGATTTAGCCAGGTTTTGGCTGTGATCATGTATTTGCATATCAGTGGTGGAGAAGCAAACAACAGATCCCAAATCGTACAGATCTGAAAATAATGGAAGCGGTGCTCCCTGGAGAAACAAACCAGGACCGATCAAATTTTTAATAGATATATTGCAAAAAAAGAAGTGTGGGAGTTGTGCTCGGACTTGCAGCTGGAGCTTTTTTTCTGCTTCTGCCTTGGGACTCCCCTGAAGAGCTGTGTGATCTCTGATTTCATAATGATAATGAGGAAATTTGGGCCAAGTGGGAGGATGGAATGGGTTGCTGGTCCCACAGTCCTTCCCCTGCCTAAAGGCAGCAGCGTCAGGCAACAGATGTGGGAATCTGCTCCTTTAGGGCTACACCAGCATTGTCCAAAGCAAGTCCCCTATGCTGGGCTCTGACAACAGAGGCATTTGGGGCAGTGCCTCAGATTTTCTTTGCAGACGATCACTCTGAAATTGCCTTCTTGTTTTGCATGTTCAGGAGGAGAACACTGTGTTTGTCATGACCAATGCAATACTCACACTGAACCAGCGCCAAGGCCGCTGCCCAGAGGTAGGTACAGGTTCTGCTTTAATCCTGCCTTGTGTGGGTGGGAGTGCGGGGGAGAGAGCTCGTAGAGTTTAGTGTAATTATAGT